TTTTTTTTTTTTTTTTTGGTGTGTGTGTGTGACCAGTAAAGGGATCGCAACCCTTGGCGTGGTGTCGCCCACACCGCGCTGAGCCAGTGAGCGCACCGGCCATCCCTATACAGGATCTGAACCCGCGGCCTCGGTGCTCCAGCGCCGCCGTGCTCCCAGCGTTGCACTCTCCCGAGTGAGCCACGCGGTCGGCCCCAAAGCTGTGAATTTTTAAAAAACCTTTTTTTAGTGAGTACCCAGTTTTCTTCCCAGTGGACTCCCTGGTCTTTGATGACCCAATCCTAGATTGTCAGGCATTTTTGTTTGCCTATATTATTATTATTATCATTATTTTTGTTGCTGGAAATAATGTAATGATTATCCTTGGAAAAAAATCTTTGTCCGTATCTCTGATTTTCCTCGGGTTATATCCCCAGAGGTAGAATTGTTGGGTTAAAACAAGGCCACACTTTCAAGGCATTTTGATTGTCACGGTCAGATGGCCCCCAGGAAGCTTGGAAAGGCAAAGCTTCAGTTGGCCCCTGTGGGAGACGCCCCCATACTCCTTGGGCTGTGTTTTGTTGTTGTTCTGAAGTTCACTGCTTCTTTTGTCAGATCATTAAAATAGTTCAATAGAAAAAAATTTTTTTTCTAGAAGAAAATGAAAATGTCCTTGATCCTCCCCAATGGTGGTGGGTTTCCATGGGGACTGAGAAGGGAGGAGCCTGAAGTCATGGAGGTGTCCGGAACCCCACCCCCCCCGGGCTGCAGCCCACGGGTCACCTGGTTTGGGGCCTGTTGCCCCCCTTTACCCCCTCCCCTTGCGCACTCCAGCCTGCTCTGGCTGGCATTCAGTGCAGCCCTGGCTCCTGATTCATGGTGTCACCACCAGCCTTCATGTCCCCTCTATAGTGGTAAAGCCACAGTCTGTTGTATTAGTTTGCTGGGGCTGCCGTAACAATTTACTGGAGGCTGGGCGATTTCAACAAGAAAAAATTTATTGTCTCACAGTTCTGGAGGCCAGAAGTTGCTGAGATCAAGGTGTCAGCAGGGCTGGTTCCTTCTGAGGGCTATGAGGGAGAATCCGTTTCAGGCTCTCTCCAGGCTTGGAGATGGCTGTCTTCTCCCTGTGTCTCTTCATATTGTTTTCCCTCCACGTGTGTCTCTATGTCCAAATTTCCCTTCCTGTGAGGACACCAGTTTTTTTTTTTTTTTTTTTTCCTTTTTGTCTTTTTTCGTGACCGGCAACGGGATCGCAACCCTCGGTGTTGCTCCCGCACCTCGCTCAGCCAGTGAGCGGCCGGTCTGTATGTGGGATCCGAACCCTCGGTGGGAGCGCAGCCGCGCTCCAAGCGGTGCACTGTAGCAGTGCATCACCGGGCCGGCCAGGACACCAGTCTTATAGTAGTCCTTCCTTATCTGTGGTTTCACTTTCTGTGGTTTCGGTTACCAGAGGTCAATAGAGGTCTGAAAATATTAAGATTTTTTTTTTTTCTTTTTTAAAAGATGATTGGTAAGGGGAATCTTAACCCTTGACTTGGTGTTGTCAGCACCATGCTCACCCAGTGAGCTAACCGGCCATCCCTATATGGGATCCGAACCCGGGGCCTTGGTGTTATCAGCACCGCACTCTCCCAAGTGAGCCACGGGCTGGCCCCAAAATATTAAGATATTTTGAGAGAGAGAGAGACCACATTCACATAACTTTCATTGTACCATATTGTTATAATCGTTCTATTTTATTATTAGTTATTGCGAATCTCTTACTATGCCTAATTTATATATGGAACTCATCATAGATATGTATAAACAGGAAAAAACTGATATATGGAGTTTGGTACTACCCATGATTTCAGGCATTTACTGGGGGTCTTGGAACATACTCCCTGTGGATAAGGGGGGACTACTATATTGGATTAGAGCCCATCCCAATGACATCACTTTAACTTGATTACCTCTGTAAAGAACCTGTCTTCACATTTGGAGGTACTGAGGGTTACGACTGCAACATATTAAATTGCAGGGGGACACAATTGACCCAGTAACGTCTGGTTTCGAGGTCACTTAGGCATCCCCTGGCTGTCAGTTGAGAGCCTCAGCAAATCTGGATTGTTGGAAGGTGAAGGAGGTGACATAGTTTTACCTTTGTTCCCTCTTGTAAAACAGAGCAACTGTCCCTGCCTTACCCAACACCTAAGAATCATACGTCTCGGAGGGGGCTAGGTGGTGCAGAAGTGTGACTGTGGGTAGGCCAGACAGCTTCAAGCTAATGCCAACCCTTGGGAGCTGATGAGGTTTGCTGCTTTGTGGCCTCACTTTCCCTGAAGATGTAGAAGAGCAAAACCAGTGATTCTCAACTAGGAGCGATTTTGCCCATTCCCCCCCCTCCAAATTGGCAATAATTTTTGGTTGTCACGATTTGTGGGGAGTACTACTGACATCTAGTGGGTAAATGCAAGAGGCGCTAGTAGACATTCTACAGTGAGTGCGGAGGATAGCCCCACAACAGAATGGTCCACCCCAAACAGTAGCGGGTACACAGGCCGTAATCTAAACAATAGAATTATTGTCAATCTTATGGAACTTTGTACGTTGATGATTGAGGATATACTTGTTTTTCTCAAGCATATGTGGAACATTCATGAAACTTGATCATATTTTAGATCACAGACGATTAAAAAATTAAAACTCACTTTAGGGCCGAGCCCGTGGCGCACTCGGGAGAGTGCGGCGCTGGGAGCGCAGGAGCGCTCCCGCCGCGGGTTCGGATCCTATATAGGGAAGACCTTGCGGTGCGGCCGGTCTCAAAAAGGACAAAAAAAAAAAAAAAAACTCACTTTAATTTGGTAGAGGCCCAAACATGCTTGTATTGTTGAGATTCTAGGTTGGAGCAACCTCTTTGGAGGGTAATTGGAATGTTTATCAAGGCACACCTTAATTAGATTAATCAAACTGGCAGGAATTTTCCTAACACACATGTCCCAGCCGCGTGCCTACCTGTCCACTACAAAAAAAAGTCAGAAGCAATGTAAATATCATCAATGGGTGTTATTTAGATTAATTAAAACTCATCAATGCAAGAGAATTCTAGGTTGTTGTTAGGGTTGGCCATATAAAATTGCTGATACTTTAGAATTTTCAAACTTCAGAAATGGCGATTTTTTATAAGGTTCAAGGTAATAATAAGAATGAGGTAGATGTTTGTTATGTGCTCATATGAAAAGACATTAAGCAAAAAAATACCAAAATGTGATACAGTAATGTAATGATTGATACCATTTTTGTTTTATAAGAGGTTCCCATGTGTCTTATGTATATTTGAATATGCATGAACATTTCTGGAACCATCTACCAGAAATTGCATCAAAAGTGGCCTCTTCCAGGGAGGGAGCTTTGTGCTAGGGAGGAGGAAGGCTTTGTTCTTCACACCTTTCTGCTTAATTTGTGCTCTTTATCTTAGGCTCTTTTTTTTTTTTTTTTTTTTTTTTTTTTTTTTTTTTTTTTTTTTTTTTTTTTTTTTTTTTTTTTTTTTTTTTTTTTTGATTATGAGAGCCATGCATATTCACCATGGAAAATTATAAGTACAATAAGCAAAAAGAGAGCCCACTCCTAGAAAGAGCCTCTGTCGACCTTTGGTGCTGAAGTTTCACCGTGCACCAGCAAACACTGTGAGGGACAGGACCATGCTGTGTATTCTCTGTTCTCACTTGTTCTTTCTCTTAGTGCTGTTTCCTAACACACTAGGGTGTGTGTATGTGTGCGTGCGTGTGTGTGATGTGTGTGTGTGGTGTCTGTGTGTGTGTGTGTGGCTGGCCAGTAAAGGGATCGAACCCTGGACCTTGGTGTTATCAGCACCATGCTTTAACCGACTGAGCTAACCAGCCAGCCATCCTCTGTCTTGGAAAGGCCTTCATCCAGACAGTACCTTGGGGGGCCGTGTGGCCTTGGCCTTAAGTCTCCTCCTTGTTTAGGTCAGAGATGGGGGTGGTGCAGTGTCCATGAGTCTTGCCTTGCGCCAGGCAGGATGGGTGCAGCACACTCACCAACAGCTCAGACCCTGCTATCTGCACAGCTCATCTATCTCCCATCTGCAGGTATGGAGCAGGGCCTGGCTGTGCGGCCCTCGCTGGAGAGCCTATTGGCGGCCAGCAGCCACATGCTGAAGGAGGTGCTGGATGGCCCCTTTGTGGACCCACTCAAGAGCCTGCGGCTCCCGCGGGAACTGAACCCCAACAAGAAGTACAGCTGGATGCAGAAGAAAGAAGAGCGGGTGAGCTGTTCTGGTTTTTCTTTCTGCCTATGTCCTGCGGGGGGCGGAGGCAGGGGAGATTGTCCCCCGCACAAAGGTGCCATCTTGCCTGGGACTTGGCTGGCTTTGGAGTCAGAGTCTGACCTGCATCCAGCTTCCTGTACTGACTTGCTCTGTGGTCCTGGGCAAGTCGTTTCCCTCTCCGGGATTCATTCCATCAATCTGCTGTCACGTCAGGCATATCACATGGGCAGCAGCATGACGGATCAGGAAGAGAGCAGCCTGAGAACCAGACCTGGCCCTGCCCTTTGCTGCCTGGGGGACCTCGGGCAAGTGGCTCCCTCTCTGAGCCTCCATTTAGAAATAACACAATCGCCCTCATTGATGGAGCAGTAGTTACGTGCAAGGTGCTGTGCTTTACACATGTCATCTAATTTAGTGTTGACATAGCCCTGCAAAGTTGGTATGACAGTCCCTAGTGTACAACTGAGGCTGAGGCCACAACTAGTAAGTGGCAGCGATGGGCTTTGAGCTAGGGTCTTTTTATGACCCTGGAGTCCCAGCTCTCGGTGTAAAGTTCACTGTCCTTGTCCATGAGAGTGGGCACCCGACAAGGAGGTGGGCATCAGCGGGTGTCGGTGTCTCATCTCTCTCCTCTTCCTTTCCTGGCGTACCTTGCAGATGTATGCAATGAAGTCCTCCTTGGAGGACATGGACGCCTTGGAGCTGGACTTCCGGATGCGGCTGGCAGAGGTACAGCGACAGTACAAAGAGAAACAGCGCGAGCTGGTGAAGCTGCAGAGACGCCGGGATTCCGAGTGAGTGTGCGCCCCCAGCCCGCACCCTGTGGGGCCCCCGCCCCACTGGGCCCACTAAGGCAGTGGCAGGTGCCAGTGCTCAATAGATCAGCTGTGGCAGGCCATTGGAGGTGTGTGTGGACCTGAGTGATGTGTGTGCACCGTGTGCCCTTTCTCTGCGTCCCGCCCGCCCCCCAGGTTCACAGCCAAGCGTGTGATTCTCTTTAAGGGACAGGCGCGAGGAACCCCATAGAAGCTTGGCACGCAGAGGCCCTGGCAGGCCGAGGAAACGGACCCACGCCCCGAGCGCCCTGTCGCCCCCCCGCAAGAGAGGGAAGAGCCGCAACAGTAGCGGAAAGTAAGGCTGGCCCCTCGGTGGGTCGGGGACTGGCACAGAGCTGTGAGGGAGGAGCACGGGCCCCACGCCTTGGGCTCGGACCCCCCGGAATGGTGGCTGTCAGGGAGCACAGTGCACACTGCCTGTGCTAGGAGGCTGAGCGAGGCGAGTGAGCACTGAGCCGGGAGGATGGCCCCAGTGAGATTTTCCCATGCTGTAACCCAAGCGCTTCACTCATCTTCCTGCCACTCCCACTTCCTCCACGGCCAGGACTAATTGCTGCTCTTCTCCACGCACCTCCTTATTTTGGAGAGATCCGCTAAGCTGCCAGGCCTGCTGGGACGGGCTCTGACCCGTACTGTCGCTTAGTCCCCTCCGTGCCGGCCACGTCTCCGTGCTTCTGGCCTGACCTCTGGCTCGTCCTGTCTGAGACCAGGGCTGCTCCCTGCAACCAGGGTCGACTCCTTTGTGCACTCTGATGACTAGCTCCTCGGGTGGCAGCAGCAGCAGCTTCCTGTGGCACGTCTGGAGGTTTTCTTGAATGCTGGTTGGAATGAGAGCATTTCCTCCAGGACTGGGCATGCAGAGGAGAAATGCTTCGGTTTTTCCTGGGTGTCTGTAGCACAAGCTAAACGAGGCCCGTCAAGGACAGGGTGGGAGAGTTCCTCGGCCTGGGACATGAGGGTGGGGTGGATGCTAGGCCGCCCAGTACTTGGCCTGAGGAAACAAAGGGAGCCTTGGGGGCCTTCAAAGGGCACAGGACAGGCTTTAGGACAGCCACAGGTCTTCTTAGGAGAAAATGGTCCCAAGGGCTCCCGCATCTTGCATTTAACCTCCTTGGATGGTCCTGACTGAAGAGAGGATGGAGAGAGGAAAAAATACCCATCACCAGCCACAGGCAGGAGGGAAGAGGCTCCTGGAGAAGATAGCAAGAGGCTGAGGCCACCAGCAGTGTAGGCCTAGTGGTCAGGAGTGTGGTCCCTACAGGTGGCTGAACTTCCTGCTTTGGAGTCCCAGCTCCACCCTTTATTGTGACCTTGGGCCAGGTGTTAGCTTTTCCCAGCCTCAGTTTCTTCATCTGTAAAAAAAA